GAAATAGGGACAACTCGTCCAGCAGCCTCATCCATGAATTCAAGCAATCATGATTAAAGTATGAAAAAATCCACACATAGTAAACATAAAAGGCAAACTTTTTCTGTCATTCCCTAAACAATGTGGTATAATAAGTATTTGCTAGCATTGTGTTTGGGATAAGTGAGATAGGGATGATTTAAGGTATATGGGAGGATGTGCCTAGGTTCTCTGTAAATACAGCAGCATTGTACATAAGGAATTTAAGCATCATTAGGGTTTGGTATCTGTGGAGGTCCTAGAATCAATTCCCTGAGATATCAAGGGATTAAACTGCCTGTAGCAAAGAAGATCTAAAAATAGATTAGATCACTGACTATGAATAAGATTTCTGTTAGTAATCAGTACAAATTTAAAAGGCAATAGCAAGGATGATCACTAAGATATACAAAATAAAAGGAGCCAAGAGGCTCAAAGCAATAATAAAAATAAATTCAACACGTGTCACAGTTTAGAACTGGAATGTCTCCCAAAGCCTTTCATGGTGAAGGCTTGGTCCGTGGCTTATGGGAATACCAAGAAATGGTAGGAACTCTAGGAGGGACCTCCTAAACTGTAGGAACTTTAGGGAACTTTAGGAAAGAAGTGAGGTCTTTGGTAGTGCACCCTGGAGGGGGATTGGGGACCCCAGCACCTTCCTGTCTGCTTCCTGGCTGCCTTGAGATGAGCAGCTTTGTTGTGTTGTGTGCTTTTCACCATGATGTTCTCCCTCATCACAATCTCAAATCCACGGGGCTAAGCAACCATGGTCTGAGTCCTTGAAACTGTCAGCCAAAATAAATCTTACCTTCTTTTAAGTTGACTTAAAAGAAGTGTTTTGTCATAGTGACAGAAACCTTACTAGCATACAACCTAAAACCTGGCAGGCCAGTGCCTTCTTCAAGTGTCTAAACTGTAGAGTCACATTCAGTAACTTGTGAGCCCAACTGTGAAATTCCTTAAAAAACATAATGTATCTCAGACTTAGGTTTTGTGCATGAAGATTTTGCACAGTTCAAGTAGAATAAAATTTTCCAGTCCTGTTTTGCCAGGACACAGCTCTCATCTTGCTAGCTCACACTTTTCTTGGCTGCTCCTAAAGACTTTCCATACCAATTCTAAACTTCTATAAACTCTGCCCCAAAAATCAAGCCTAAGGAGACTTTCTCTCTATTCATTACCCCAGTGACTTTTAAAATACTGTTCCTTTATTCTCTTTACCTATAGCACACTGTTCCCTTAAATATTACTTTTATTTTATCTGTCTCTTAGTACAGTGTAAAGTTCTGATCCTCAGCCTAAGGCTAACAATCAGTCTCCTCTGTTTCAAGATAAGGCTTATTTATAACTTCTTCCTCACACTTGTTACTCCCAGCCTACAAGAGTTTCTTACACTGTGAACATATCTTGTTGTTACTCTTCTAGGTCATTTCTCAGGTCTTCCTTTTGTCTGGAATTTTCATGCACACATATTTGCATATTGTCATCATCCCTGCCTACAAAAAAGTTAACAGATCACAATTTTATTAACTTTCCTTATTCTTGATGCAGCCAAGCAGAGAAGATATAGCAGATCATGAAATAGCACAGTCACAGATATAGCCAGGCCTTTATTGAGTACCTATTTCATTCCAACTTTTGTTCACTGGATACCAAGATGAGTACAAGAATACCATTCCCAATCAGGGAGCTTAGCACATTAGGAGAGATGCATGAGCAAAAATATTCTGGTAGAATATGATGAGTAGACTGATCAAGATATGCACATGGTATAGGGGAGGTAGAAGGGTTCAACTCAGGCACAGGAACTGATGCGGAGCTCTACCAAAAGAGGTCTCAGGACCAAGGAGAGCGCCTGGTGCACCTACCCTTGAAGCATTGCTCGCATTGTTGGAGCCAGCTCAAAACTTTCTGATAGGTTCTAGCCTCATAGCAGTTTCTGCCTCGAAGAAACCCTCACCAGGCATATTCTGGATGTCTTTGAGTTAGGAAAATACTACTTCACTTCATTAGCTTGCTTTGAGGATTGGATGAAGAATATATATATCCTTAGAAGGTCCAGTTGGATCAACTCCTCAGGAGGTGCTTCTCATTCTAGAATTTGATATGGAAGTCAGGACTTCCTTTAATTGGGATATTCTTTCTCAGTCACTGGGGAGTTGGAGACTGATTCCTGACTGGTCCTGATAGAGTTTACCTCCTTAGCCTCTTGTGTTGCTCACCTGGTGGCTGTGATTTTATTTATGAATACCTTGCCTCAGTGTTAGACAGCCTGACTTTCTAATCCTACTGCAGCCTGTCTGTCACTTACTCTTCCTGAATCCCATGTGAGATATTAGCCAGAATAATAGATTCACTGTACGAGGTACTTACAACTGAGTAAGAGATGGGAGGAAAAAATGTTCAGGTCTTAAAATAAGTTTGTATGTTATTATTTTTTTAAAAATCAACCTAATGGAATTAAATAGGTAGGTACTTGACCATGAAATGAGTAAAAATGTGGGTTGATATGTGATGACAAAATAGTCTATATAGATGTACTTAATAATGGGGAAGACTCGTACTGAATAACGTACCTCCTTCACCCGAAAAATATTTTAAACTATAAAAAGGCATACTGTGTCAGGGTAGCAGAAAAAGTACCAGAGGTTAACAGAATCAAATAATTTTAGTCCAGTCTCGCCACTTGTTAAATGTAGGTTCTGAAACAAGTAAATTACTCTGTTTAGCCCACAGTTTCCTCAGCTGCAAAATGAAGAGATTGGAGCTGATAGCTGTGAATGTCGTCCACTCCTCCTTGTCAGGTTGACACTGCTTCTTAAGTAAACCACACAGCTGTTTTCTCCTCCCAAGACCCATGGCCTTACCTCAAGCCTAAAGTACCACACCTGGTCTCTGTAGCAACTTTTCAGATCCATCTTGTTCTCTGCACTTCCTCAAAGAACCTTTTCTGAAGAAAATCCAGGTCATCCGTGGTTCATGCCTGTCAGTGGCTCCAGCACACAGACGTCGGCATAGCCTGTCTTCTGCCCCACAGCTCCCCACACATGCTCTTTGCTCTAGCTTTATTACTGGTATACGGCTTTCAAGGTGTAGCATAGCTTTGGGCGCCTGGCTTGGTTTATTTGGGCTGCTACAGCAAAGTCCATGCCATAGACCCGGTGTCTTACAGTTTCAGAGCCTGGGAGATTCAGATGAGGAGCAGAGTAACAGGGTTCTTGTGAGGGCTCGCCTCATAGTATGCAGTGTTTGTCGTCAAGCCCGGATTTTGGGGACTTTGCGCTACATTTAATCTTTTTTAATTACTTGGTCCAACATGTCACTGACTAAGTGAAAAATCAAGGCCTGAAGTGTTGCGTAGCTTGCCTGTATTACACAGCTCACTCGGGTTCACCGATGATCTTGAAATCTGAACTTCATGCTCTCATCCCTTTTCGTGTTATGTCCCTCTACAGAGTGAACATCCCTCATCCAAAAATACAAAGTTCAAGATGCTTCAAAATCCAAAATATTTCAAGCGCTATCATTGTAGAAAACTCCACACCTGACAACACACTAAAGTAAAATGGTTGACAAGTTGAAGTAAAAAAAAAAAAAAAAAAAAAAAGCAGGCCCACTAAAAATATAGTATAAAATTAATGTCAGGCCTTTTGTATCACATGTATGAAATGTAAATGAATTTTGTATTTATACTTGGGTCCCATCCTGAAAATAACTCATTACATGTAAGTAAGCACTCAAAAATCTGAAAAATTCCAAGGTTTAAAACACTTCTGGTCCAAGCATTGCAAATAGGGGATACTAATTATAGTGCCTCATTTATATTCACCCTTATAATCCATTCTTCCCTTTATAAAATACTAAGTCTATTATAGGTTCACGTTTGTCATCCCCTCCTCATCAAGTCCTACTAATTAAAATGAAAAAAACAAAAAGCTAGGAACATGCCTGAAATCCCAGCTGCTCAAGGGACTGAGGCAGAAGTATTACAAGTTCAAAGCCAGCCTAGGCAACTTAATGAGACCCTGCCAACAAAGACGGCAGGGCTGATGTGTGGCTTAGTGGTAGAGCAACCTTGGGCTACATCTCTAGTACTGGGAAAAATGAAGTCCTGTGAATTGTGTATAATCATATTTTGTAGATAAAGACAGAAGCAAGCCTTCCACTTTGGCTGCTTTTGCTATTTTTTTTTTGACTTTACATAATTAAAAATGGTAGGAATGATGTCCTAATTTCTACAATGTACTTCATTTGTTGAACTAAGATCAAGACTTTATTGTACATAGTAGGCTTTCGGTTATCCATGTGTACTTTGACTATTTTTTTAAACTATAAAATGAAGAATGTAAGATAATTAATTTTTATGGTTCCTCCCACTATAAAATTTCTACCTATATTCAGTAACCCCCCCAAAATGCAATCATAAAATAGTCATTTATTTCACAAAACAGTCATAAAAGTATTTAGGGAATTTAATAGAAAATATATCAATAGAGCTAAAGCAAATGCACAGTTTCTTGAATTTTACTGTTAATTTGCTGAATCTTAACCACTTTAGGAAATTGATACATGCTATGATTTTTTTTTTTGGTACTGGGAATCAAACTCATAACCTTACATTTGCCAGGTAAGTGCCACTGAGCTATATCCTTGGCCCCATACTATGATTTTTATCACAGCAAAAAATGAGTTATAAAAACATCGATATATTAATCAGCTTTCCACGATAATAAGAGATTTATTATATTTTGTTTTCCCTTAAAATTTGATTGGCATTTTGTATTTTATCTAATTATTTTAACCACAATATTCCTTAAACTTAGAAATGTACTCACTTACCTATAGTTAATTATTTGCAATTACTTATTTGAAACTAAGAGATATGAAAGTTGTTACTTTTAGCTAAAAATTATTCTACATTTAGTTCTTCACTTGCATTTTACAATTTGAAAAATTTTAAGATGTGTCATAATAATGGGAGAATGTAAGTTTATTGGGTCTAATGGAAAAAGAGTAGATTTTCTTATATAAAATCCTTTGAAACATCTTAAAGTTTTTAGTGCGACTAGAAGGATAGAAACTGTGATTGGCTAGAACAATACTGAGGGTGAGGAGAGTTTAACTTCAACACACTTGCACAAGATCCAGAATTTTAAAAAATTCCACATACAATATTATTTGAGAGGCAAATACTTTTAGCTGTTAATTCCTACAGTTAATTTTAATTCAGCTGTTCTTTCTGGTTTTCATCCTTCTAAAAGACTTCTATGTTTTTCATCATTATATTTTCATAAACACTGCATCCATTCTCCTGGGTCCATACAAATAGCTGCAAATGTACCGAATAACAGACGTGCTTCCACAAAAGCGTCAAATTGGATTAGACAGCCGAGAAGGGGCACTTGGCGGGTGGAAGAAGGTTGAGGTCCTGTCACGGATTGGCCTGCCTCAGTTATGTAAATGAGCTGGACGCTATTAGACAACCTTGTAAATATAAGTAATTAACTATAGAAAATAAGGTCAGCACAACCTTGAACTAGAGAGATTCTTTGAATGAAGCAGAGGTCATGGACCACTGACAGTTCATACAGACCGTAACAAAATGGACCTGCATGTAAGATTATTTCACATTCCAAGGGTGATTTGGAGAGGAACATTTTCAGAAGTAGCATCTTGGTTTAAAAATAGATAATTGAAAATATGCTTTCATTCTTGTCATTAATCCCCACCTACTTGTGGAAAATAGATGAAAAAGAATGAATGAATCAAGATAGGGAAATGGTACTGTAAATGGAGAAAGACTGAGTCAGGTAGCTGTGAGTTTTGCTTTCTCCCAGGAATGTCCTACAGTGAGATTATAGCAATACTAAGATTTCTGTGCCTTAACTGGAGGGAGACATAAACCTGAAAGCCAGTGAGAAGCATTTTTCACTTCACTACTTTGAAATTAGCTCAAACGAGACAAAAGCAGTCACTGTATCTTGGGTGAGATAAGCATCCAGACTGTTCCTACATCCAAAGGATGGAAGAGAGATCACAATAGTTGAATCTGACATCCGCTGAGCATTTTCAAAATTGTTCTCCCTTCCTTGGCAGACAGCCTACTCCTCGTCTTTGCAGTGGAAACTAAAAAAGGAAGCTGGTGGAACAGATTCATAGGACATGAACCAGCTGGGTTAGGCACTGCAAGGGGAAGTTTCCAGTCTCCTGCCTCTTATTTTTTGTGTGTGTTATAACGGGGGGAGGGGATTTCCCATCTATTGTGCGAAGGACCCAGACAGCAAAGCACAGTGGGGAGCACTTGTCTTTCCTGGTCCTGCCAGATTCTGCCTTTCCTCCACATGGCCATCTTCATGCCCTGCATTGCAGGACTAACCCTGTTCTTTCTGAGAGATGGGTGAACATTTCTTCATTTTCCTGCTTCTTCTTGGGGGTCCTTTATTACTTTGAAACAGATAGCAGTGACATAATGACATATTTAGAAATACCAACCAAAACATACACTGTGCTCAGGGGGTGTAGTTCTAAAGAAAAGGATAAGCTTTGCAGATATGTGTGTGTGTGTGTGTGTGTGTGTGTGTGTGTGAGAGAGAGAGAGAGAGAGAGAGAGAGAGACAGAGACAGAGACAGAGACAGAGAGAGAAAGAGAGAGAGAGAAAGATGGAAGATATCCAATGGACTTGGAAAGAAAAATGCTCCATGGAGAAGCATGTGTGCATTTAAATATGCAGTGAGAGGAGAGGAGAGAAAGAGGTTGGTAAATTACCTCAGCACTTGAACACACTTCTGCAATGTGTTGTTGTTTGGGAAGTCATTGCTATAGTAACCAAACCATCCAGAAAATGGCAATAAGTGTTATTTTATAACCAGTGATGGAAATGGAAATTATTTGCTCTGGGAACTCAGCTGTATTTCTTGGTAAATGATTGGGATGTTACTGGACCTGGAAAGTTCTGGGGAAATAGATTGAACCATATGAAATTTGACCTTTTGAACTCTAAGACAGCAGTTTCATGTGGTTTGATCCTTAATGTTGTTATTTCCTATGCCCTTCCCTTTTTATCTTCCCATTTCTATCTCTGGTGATAACCTTCCATATTTCCCTCATCATTACATCATTGCAATTCTATCTTTGCATGGTCTGATAAACTTTCATGAGTATAAAAATAATTCTAAGAAGATTTTAAGTGCAGTGCTATTAGACATGTTTTAACTAAGTTGCATGCCGTGTAGCATCCTGCTACAAACATAAATAGCCATAAAGGAACTCTATACAGTGTCACTGAGACCTACTGTACAAGAAACTCTAGCCCATCAGTGCTCTTGTTAAAGGGATCATTTGTTTTTGAGCACTTTCATTTTCAGGGACTTTTACAGAATCATTCTTAATTGTAGCAATACCAGAGTTCTCAAAAGTAGTGGTTTATAAGATCAATATAAACAGAGAGGGGCAGGACTGGCAGGGAGATGGCAACTGAGAGAAAAGAAAAATAAGAGCTGAGAGATCAAAGATGTAACTGTCTCAGTTTTCTCGAAGAAGCAGATGTCCGTTTTGGTGATTTCATGGTGCAGATTCTAGAAGAAATTTAGTACCTGCTATTCTCTCAAAACATTTTGAAATATCCAATTCACTTAAAAAACATTTTTCCAAGTGTGGCTTTCTAGGATTTTGGCATTTTGCCTATCAATAAATTATGAAAGAGCAGCAGGATCCTACTCTTCTGTGCCGTCAAAGTATGTGTGAGGTGTCTGGGTCTCTGTGCTGTATTTACAGAGACAGGTTACCTCTATGGCATTTTCACCCAATGATATGACATTTAATTTGTCTCCAGTGTACAGATCCGTAGCTTTGAGAAACATGCTTCTGATGCCTCCGAGCTTTGGGTAAAGTATAACACTCCAGAGTGTAGGAAAGATACTTTTCATTTTCACCTAGTTCGTGGGCTGCTTCAGCAAAATTTTATTATATTCAACCAGCTGACATTCTTTTTTCTTCCTGCAAAGAAATTCAAAAGAATTCATCACTTTTGTTCTAGGAGATCCTATGAAATGTTGTATAATACAGTCAATATAATCTTAGCCAACTATAAAATCTTACTAAACAATGACAAAAGTAAAGCTCATGAAAGCATAATTGTAATTCAGAGTAGAATTCTTTAATTCTGGAAGAATGCTTGACAGAATTTCTTTCTCATCATTTTATTCATAAATAGGGTGATTTATATATTTAAGTATTTAAAATGAGCCCTGGCATAGCGTCTGAGGTGATTTGTGAGTAGCAGCTCCTTTAGTCCTCACAACTTTCTGAAGAAGGCACTGTGTTTTCCTCATTTTACAGACAGGGAATCTGAGAGTGACTATCCTACAAAGACATTGATATTTAGAATTATAAAATTTGAACAGAAAGTACTTAAAAAACTGGAAACTTCTGATTGTACTTATTTTAATAACTATTTAGATACATATCTTTAGGTTTAAATTAAGAAGTAGGCCTATTTTTTAAACGATATCTAATATTACATACTAAGTTAAAATGTGTGCCATGTCATATCATGTAGAAAATCAGTTACACATACATAGAAATGGATAGGTCTGGATCATCTGAGAGATCAAACATGGGAAACAGAAAACAGAATGTACAGTTTAATCCTGTAAGGTGCCTTTCTTTGTGTGCGAGATGAAATTACCTGCTTGAGAATTCATTAAGCAGGATAAGAGTTAATAAAGCTTGACATGAGTATCCAAAGTTATATTCTTAAGACAGAGCTGGTCTTTTGGAAGGAGTAATAGCTATCATGACTTTAGTATAAATTTCTCAGTAAAATACTTTGTAAAATAAAGAATTTAATTGCATGGCCATCCAAATGGTACTATGTCAGTGGGACATTTCCCATTCTTGTCGTAAAATGACAGATTTGAGGATAGATTTTGAGGGCTCTGTAAACCTACTACCTTTATTTACTGCAAAATGTTTTGAGTATCCTACCGAGTAACTACCATCGCAAAGGATTGGGCACAGTGGGAGCAGAGCGAGAAATGGGCCTGCAGAAGCATTTAGAGTTTAATGGATCCGTGGCTGTAGGGAAGCAGTGTACTGAAATAATTCTGATTAGGTGCCATCAGTCAAGCTGCACAATCAGACTCTTCTCTCCTCCATTCAGCTCTCAGTGTTCAGAGCACAGTCACAGTTGAAAGCAGCATTTTAAGTCATCCTTGCACTGTTCTTTAAAATACAACCTCCATTCAGAGTGGTGTGTGAGCCCTTTTTATGCCTGTGGGAATAGCTGACTACAAAAAGATAAGGTTATGCTAACATGTTAGTAGAAAAACAAGCAAATGCTACTTTCCAATGACAATGTTTATTTTAAAAAATTCATTCACTTCTAAGAAGTGATTGGAAAACACCAAAATGGATAGTAACTGTACATTATATTCTCCAGCTTGTTTTCTGTTACCAGCCAGTGTGTGCTGTATCAGTGACTATCAGTGACTAATAAGCAGGTGATTATCTCCTGTTTCCTGTTAGTTGGTACCAGTAGTAACACATATGGGGCAGTAGATATATAAGTGAGAGGAAATAACTGTAAAGGCTTTCCTCATCTAATTGCTTTATCTGTTGAAAGTGTGAAAAATAAATTTGAAAACTGTTTTCCATTTTTAGCTTTTTGTTAGCATAATTGAAAGCTAGTTAAGACATCTACAGAAAACCAGATGTTCAGAGGGAGGAGGATGCAGGCGGGATTCTCTGACATCTCTACTTGTATAGTCTCAGAGGTCCTGTGGCTATGGCTGTTGATCTCTCTGACAGTATGCTTTGAAGATTACGTTACATGTTGATTGTGCTTTTGTGAAAAAAACACATTATTTTAAGCAGGTCTCAACAAATGCTGAAGAGTTTCAAAGAAATATATCCCCTCATTGTTCACAAGAGTCACTGTAATAAATGTGGGACAGATTTTCAGGTTTATTCTTAGAAGTAAATGACTATAATCGAAAATACAGCAAATGGACACTTTCAGCTTGACTCATAGCTGGTGAATGGCTTATAAACCTACTTCTCTTGAAGAATTCTGGAGAGCCCTTAAGCTTGAAAAGTGGTATTAGAACTTCAAGCAAAAGCAGTCCTGTATGGATTTGTAGCAGCCCCAATATGAGGTCCCACCATGTATAATACATTTAGAACACCTTCTGTTACTTCCTTTACACCTTCTTAACATGAAGTATAATCCTGTTGTATATAGCACATTAAGGAAAATACCAGCTCACTGTTCATTATTTTCATATACTTATATACCAATAATATCTGACAAAAATAAAAGTAACCAACATTTAAAAATTCTTAGGGTTTAGATAGATAAATAGTAATGCCAATGGTTATGAGACAAGCCCAAAAAAGAAATGAAATTGAGCAATAAATAGGGGAAGGTAGGGGAAAGAGATTAAGCAAACAGTTATAATATTTATTTTTGCCAAGGTAAAAGATGACCGGAATGAGTTATATGAGTGGCAGGTTATACACGTGTACATTGTAGATTTTGGTGCTGAAGTAAACAAGCTAGTCTCAAGCCGTTACTATGTCTGCTAAAGAAATAATATTTCAACAACTTGATAGGATTTCCAAAAATTTTTTAAAAAAGAAGACACTCTGTAACACACTTACACTTTTCCTCTCATAATTGAAAAGGTGGCATTTATTTTCTTGAAGCAGTATTATTGAACGGGAGCTATTGTGCATCTTGCTAAATAATTTTAAGCAACTAAACAGATTCTTCTTTCTGCTAAATGGATATGAGGAAATGTTTAACCCCATTGTACTGCCACAAAGCCAGGCTGATCACCCCGGGAGGCCTGAGCAGCTTTCGATTGGCTGTCAGAGCAGGACTTTAACATTTTATCACACATGGCCCAGCCACCGCGGGGTTCAATCAGTAGGGCTTTTATCTGCAGAAATGTGCTGGGATGGGCATTTCATTTAAGATTTTCCTTTTGCTGCTGGAGGGGATAAGAAGCAGTAATAGAACCTCGTTTGTAAGGTAATATCTGTGTTTGTTTATCTGCAGGGGAAAGTGACGTTTGACGGCCATATTTTCTGAGACCTATTGATTTTTGTTCTTCTCAGGTATTATTGTAAGGATGTGGTTAAAACTGAAGGCAAAATTAGAATGCTGTTCTACCCAAAGACCTGTCTGAAGCTTTCTATTCTGTGTCCAGTGATTCGGTTTTACTTAATGTGCAGATCTGCGTAGTGGGGTTTGTTTCAAAAGTCAGTATCTTTCACAGAGCTTGTTCATTACCCTTCTAAAAGAGCGACATTGGTAGTGTAATGACAGATGGACTTGGCTTGAATAGTTTAATAACAAAATTGGAACTTTTAAAGAAAATGCTAGTAGGTTTATGTTTGCTCTTAGGTTAGGTCAACAGGTTGTTAGCAACTAATTTTGATGTATGTTGTGCTTCATTGTATAAATTTTTTCTCCTAATAATATCATGGAAATCTATCTAATACAATATTTTCTGTGTACAAAGTGTAGGTAAATTTTATTCATGTGCCTTTTTGACCTAAAAGAAATGTTATTTTCATTCTCTCTGTATTAACTTGAGAATTTCCTTTAACTTTTCAGTATGGTCCCCTATATTTGAGATACTTGATTAGTGAAGAGGATGAGAAAAGCTTAATTAAGGGGTATATTTTTGAAAATGCCATAATTGGATTTAGTCACTCTAGCTCATGAAATAGCTTCAAAGACTATCTGTAAGTTTATATTTAATGTCTCAGACTTTTGAAGGTCATAAAATGAAACATGGTCATGATTATATTAATGTAACCAAGCTACTCTCCTAAAAACCAAAGTGTTGTGTCTGTACACACATCCTTGAAAAAACTTACTGCAGCTGAACAGGAAGCAAGCATATTAAAAGACACTGTCTTAATAGAAGCATACGTTTGAGCCCAGCCTGGGATACTTAACAAGATTCGTTCTCAAAATTAAAAAATTTAAAAAAGGACTGGAGGTGTCACTCAGTGATAGTGCACTTCTGAGTTCAATTCTCAATGCAGCCAGGAAACTGTGAAATAAGGCATTACTATTTTCCTATTGGCAGATTTTCTGTGGAAAATAGCAGAGTAGAACAAAAGTCACCACAAAGATCTCCTGTGTTTGCGTATAGTGTTTTACAGTTTGTGCTACCTAGTTTGGTCTTTCTAATCATCCTCTGCAGGGACAGCAGATCTCTTAGCCACATCTTTGAAAGGAGATAAGTAAGATTTAGAGACACTGAGGGGATTCCCCAAGCTACCCAGCCAGAAACATGCAGAGCTGAATCCGCCCCACCCTACATTCGGACCAGGGCCCTTTCCAAAACGGGCTGGCTCCGTGTACTTGATGTTTGCGTTAATGATCAGACTGTTTGGACTAAGCCTTTTAATAGGAAGGCTTTGGCAACAGCTGGTATTAGGTAGATTAAAAGTAAAATCAAAGGCTGTTAGGAAAGTGGAAAATCAAGGGAGTAAGAGAAGAGGGAGAAAAGATACCAAAGTAAACTGAGTGTTGCTCAAAGAAGTGTGGGTTATGCAACCCAGTGCATGAGGTTTGTGTCTCCTTCCTTTCCTTCCAAGAGAAAAGCCCCTGTTTCTTCATGCTGCTTTCTCTCATCCCTCGTTTCTTCTGAGGAATTTTCTGTGCCTTGCCACTCCACTCCAGTCTAAATCATAAATTGGAACATAATAGGGCACTTTCCCTAGCCTTTTTTTTTATTGGTATTTCTGGTATATCATTTCCAGAAAAACAAATGATCAGATCTGTACATCTCCTTTTAATAACCTAATAAGGCTTACTTGAATTATATTATATCTGTGCTTACTTGAATTATATTAAACAATAATACTTTTTGCTATTATGTTCACTTGCCATGTTTGTCTTCTTTCCATTCTTAATTTTCTTATTCCTCAAATAGCTGCTGTTGCAGTTTAATTCCACTGCTTACCCAATCCTTTTC